CCGCTTTCTGGTATTCCCAGTAGGTCCTTTATGCTCCCGTCTATTCTGAAGCAGCAGTTGCTAAATTTTCTTTTACAACAGTCTTTTAACTCCTAACCACAGTTTACCCAGCAGACTGGCTGGACCAAGCACTGCACCGGTTCCTTCCGGAGGACACATGAGCTGGCGCCTGCAGCTCGCTGCTCCCCGGGAGGCCATGCACTTTAGCCGCTGTAGCTATGCTCACCACGAACCAGCTGTGCTGCTCATGAGCCTGCTCGTGCCCACTTCACTTATGGAATCATATGAGGCAATCACATGTTACGTAAGCTGATTTAACAGGACAGTGAGGGGTCGCTCCTATGCAATTCAGTCGAATGCTTTTAGGAGCCTGTAATAACTGCATCAGCATAGGTGTAGGTGATAATCATAAAAGACAAGGAAAAATCTTAAAAATCTACTAGGGTTTTACACTCAGATGGCTTTAAGCATTAGGTTTTCTCTTTGTTTAAAGAGATGGAAACGGAGCATGTTAGACAGTACAAAGGCGCTGTGTACCTTGCTGCAGAGCGCAAGCGAGCAGGCCTAGCATCAAAAATCAAACATTTGAGAACTGAGATTGATAAATTTCAAGTCAAAATAAAGAGTTTATATATATTTTTAATTCCCCTTAATGACCAAGTTTTCTTTCTTTCGAGGAGAACTAGTCAGACCCTGACCACAGCTGTTGGCTCAGGGGCTGCAGCTGCCCAGCCCCTGACCCGACCTGCGCAGCACACTCAGCGGCTCGCCCAGGCGCGGATGAAAGCGTCAAGGCTGAGGGTCAGCTTAGGCCACAGTCACCAAATGCTGCCAGTGCGCGCAGCCTTCCTGTCGATCCGGGTCTCGGTTACCTCCCAGCCCTCCCTCTCCAACCCCGATGCGGAGAAAGGGACTCCAGCTCATACCCATCCTTTTTGTAAAACTCCAGCATCATGTTATCCGTGGCAACGCTGAGGGGCCGGCGAGCCTGCTCGGGCTGGCGCCGGTCGGCGGGGTCCATGTCTGGGGAGGGCATTGAGCTGTAGTTGGCGTTGTGGTTCACGTGGACCGGACTCCCGTAATTCCCCGTGATGTTGAACTCTATCTCTGTGAGGAAGAAAGAATGGGACTGTCACGTGCTTCCATGGCAGAGAGGGGAGCAGATCGCCTCTCCCTACTTCACCCCTAGAGAATGTTGTTCCATGGTTCCATGTTAGGCCATCTATTGATATTAGTTCATCTTCATATAACTCACCTATCATGTTAATATGAGGGCATTTAATAAAGCAGTTTATATTTGTGATTAAAAACAAACTTAATGAAATGGAAACAGAGGCATACTTCCCGAAAAAGATAAAATCAGCTACCGCAACCCTCATTGTGAAGAGGGTCTTAATCAGATCAGGAAAGAGCCATGCCCCCCTTACCACTGTCATCTAACACCCCTGGCGGGGTGCTGGCCTATGGCATCAGCCAAGACAATAAAATAAGGGGCAGTATTATGATTTATAGATGAGAATGTCTTCCTGGAAAACTAAAGAGAGAAATGGGGAAGAATTAGAACTGGAGATTTCACTCAGGCCACTCAGGCTGTTGACTATAGATGGACACAGGAGTGCTCACCCCCCCCTTTCCCTGTCATCATACGTGGACCCGCAGCAGTAATGCATGGGCTCATCACAGAACCTGCCACGTCCATCATGCCATCAACTCCTTTCCTGCTTTTCTGTAGCCTCACTACTGACCCTCACCCAGCTTTTTACGTGACTAACAGAACTCTTAAGAGTTCTCACGGTCAAAGCACATGAAACAAAATAAACACACTCAAACTTCTAAAGTGCTAGATCAGCACTAATCGATCACTGCTGATAGAGGATGGAGACATTAGCATAAAATGCCCTTAAATTTTACTAACCATAAGGTCAGATAGCCTTTTCTAAAGGGGACACAGCTTAGTGTAGCAACTGCTATCTCTTCAGAGCTGTCAGCTGAGAGCCACAGACGGGAGGAGTCCCATGCTGAGGACGGTGAAGAAAACCCGCCGTGGGCAGCTGCCTTCTCCTTGAACCAGGCACGAAAGAGAACCTGACCACCTTCACATGCTGAGGGATGCTTGGAGGACAGCGCCAAGAAGAACAAAGGGTGGCACCCAGGCGATCCCCTCCCTCTGGTCTCAGCACCCCCTCACCCAGGAAGCAGAGGGTCTCTTTCCTGTCTGCACCAGCACTGCAGGATCCACAGGTTTAAGGAAACCATGGTGTGGACGCTGGACCAGAAAGTCCATGGTCATGGCTGGTACAGGCAGTGGTCACCTTCAGGCCAGAGAGTAGGAACCTGCTGTGACTCCACCCTATACCTGAGTGTGTGTGTGAGAGTGTGCGTGTGTGTGTGAGTGGGTGTGTGTGTGCCCGTGTGTGTGTGTGCGTGCGTGTGTGTGTGTGTGTGTGTGTGTGTGTAGGGGGATTAAAAACACAGCACAACAGAACAAGCACACACCTCTGGGCAGTGACACTTGTTCCAAAGGTTCAGAACTCACAGCGACACCTGCTCTTTCCCAGAAGCCCCTCCCCCACTGGCCGCCCCACGTACCCCCGGGGAAGAACCAGTCCGCATGCTGGATGATGGGTTCGATGATCCCGACAATCTGCAGCGAAACCGTGGTCATCATCTCCGTGATGTTCCTGCAGGCACAGAGCAGAGCGCGGGCGGTCATCCTCCGAGGCCCGGCCCCCCAGCGCGAGGGCCCTGGCCCAGGAGCCTGCAGACCTTGGTCTGAGAGCAGCTTTCTCTTGGGAAGAGGAGGTTCACCTTTCTGGTGACCCCTTTCCCCTGCACAAGATGGAGACAGCCACAGAAGTCCTCCGTACAGGAGACGTGTGAGGACACGCATAAGGAAATGAGTAAGTAAGCTGCACACATCAGCAGGTGGGGGGCCCCTTTCAACGTGAGGTGTGAGCCCCATAACCGCCAGTCTCCTCTCCCAGCTCCGTGCTCTTTTCCGAGATCCCTCGGTCTTCCTGGGCCCTGACACCGGACGCGTGCTCTTCAGAATCAGGAAAGCTGGGGAGAGCCTGCCTCGCGCCACTCCGCCAGGCCCCTGCCCTCTCACCCTGACACTGTCTTGGATTAGCTTGGAGGAGACCCTCCCGGCAGATCTGCAGCTCTGAGATGACCAATGGGAAGATCTGCAGAATCCTGGGCCTCCTCCTGAGCCTAAAGGGGGAGGAGGCCAGGGAGGAAATCTGCCTTGAGAAATAACGAGTCTGGTGAGGAGAGTCAGGGAAGGCACTGACCCTGCAGCCCGCGGTCCCCACACGCCCACACTCCTGTACTCACCCCTCCGCTTGTGGCCACAGGAGGTTGGGTCCTAACACAATTGCTATGTTACTGGGAGTCATCTTGTTTACATCTTGATATTCTGACAGCTTCGATAAAAATTTGATCAAGTATCTGAAAGGAAGTAGGAAGGGCCAATTTTAACTAAGAGTTCACCACCTGCGCGTTCCCCCAGCACTGGGTGGAAACTTCTCTCGCGTAGCATAGCTTACTGACAATGAGCGCATACTTTCTTCAATATGATGAAGACACGTCATGCACCGGGACATGGGAATGCTCCAAAAACAGACAGACTCAGACATCACTGCTATATGTCAACCTCTGGCCAGAGAAAGTCTCCATCCTTCCTCTGGACTTAGTATAAAATGGCCTAAAGTTCCATCTTCACTTCAAATCTGTCACCTACAATCTTCCCTGTGTGCAGAGGGGAGAAGCAAAGTGTCCGGGGTCATCGGCAGGGACATCTACAGGCCTGGAGTCTATCCCCTGGTCCCTTTGGAGCCCCTCAGTGGGGCTTTCTAGAGAAAGTCAATGAAGAACAAGTTAAAGACTCAGCATACGACCCAGCAATTCCACTCCTAGGGATATGCCCATGAGAAGCAGGTCCACACAGACTTGCAGCATTACTCAGTAGTCAGATGTGGGATATATGGGTACATAAAATGTGGTCTCTCCATACAATGACATATTATCTATCATAATAAAAGCACAATATGCTAATTAGACTGGACGACCTTTTGGACGAAGCCAGGGCTGTGAGGAAAGCCCGGGTCTCGGGTGCCAGAGGGAAGCCAGTACTGGCAGCTGGGGGAAAGAAGGCCTACTCTTGCACAAATTTCATGCATTGGGCCTCTAGTTCAGCTGTAAAAAAGAAATGAAGCTCTGACACATGCTACCACATGGATGAACCTTGAAAACATCCTGCTGAGAAAGGAAAGACCACATGTTGCACGATTCCGTTTACATGGTCTATCCAGCACAGGCATATCCACAGACAGGGGTGGGAAGCTGGGCTGGGGGACACGAGGAGTGACTGCTAATGGGAATAGGGCTTCTTTCTGAGGTGATGAAAATGTTTAAAATGAGATGTGGTGATAGTTATACAAAACCCCCACAGAATAGTATACTTTAAAGGGGTACAATGATATGTGAATTATATCTCAATAAAGCTATTTTAAAAAAAAAGAACCAGTAAGGAAGCTATTTACAAATGAAGCACACAAAAATAGCACTGGCAAATAATGCCCAAAGTCTGTCAGGCTCTGCCAAGTACCCTGGGGGCACGTTTTCTCCCAGACTCTCAGGTACTCCCAGTTCCTGAGGCCCCTTTGCTCCTGGCAGCCTGGCAGAAAGAGCGGACTCAGCTGCCCCTGTCCCAGCCTCTCCTGACCATATCTCACTCCAAGAGGCCACACCCTGGACCAGAACGCAGCCCAGCTGAGAGCAGCCAGCCCACCGCTGCCGGAGGCAGAGGCTGTGGTCAGCAATACTCAATGTGTTATACCAATCTGATTCTTCCTTTTTTTTTTTTTTATATAGTGGTAAAATATACGAGTCACCATTTAACTACTTTTAAGTATATAATCCAGTGGCAGTAAGCACTTCCACACTTTTAGGAAACTGTCACCACTCTCCAGCTCCAGAACTTTCCAACACCCTAAACTTGAACTCTGCACCATTAAACAACACCCTCCCATCTTCCTCCCCTACAGCCATTGGAATTCTCCAGCCTACTTCCTGTCTCTGCGAGTGTGACTATTCCAGGTGCCTCATATGAGTGACTCATGCAGTATTTGTTCTTTTGTGTTTGGCTTTTTTCACTTAGCACCGTGCCCTCAAGGTTCATCCACATGGTAGCCTGTGTCAGAATGTCCTCCCCTTCTAAGGCTGAACATTGCATTGCATGTGCATTTCGTTGGCCCATTTATCCACTGAGGGGCATGTGGCTTGTTTCCACCTCTTAGCTGTTGTGAATAATGTGGCTCTGAACATGGGTGTACAGAGCAAGTCTTGGCTTTCTAATCTATTGTCTACATAGCCAGATGTGGAATTGCTGGGTCAAGTGGTAATTCTATGTTTAATTTTTTGAGGATCTGCCTTACCTCACTATTGGGATTTTTTACAGGGAAACAGAAATTATCAGGCAGATGGTGGCAGGAGCTGAAGCTAAAAATCTGTATCTAGAGAAACCGTGAGAAGAGGCGTGGGGCCAGGAGCAGTGCTGGCAAGACAAAGTGATGAGGAAGCAAAAGTGTGAAGGAGCAGAAGCCGGGGAGGGAAAGATCTGCACAGCAGCAGGAAGTAAGATCTCAGGTGGTCGCAAGGAAAGCAAGAGATGGACGTGTTTAAAATAGCTGGTGAAGGGTAGAGCACTGGAGTACGTTCTCCTAGCCTCTCCTTCCTGCAGGCTAGCTCAGCACACACCTGCCCACTGCAGCCCCAGGTTTGCTCAGCTTCTCCCGGGTGTCCACGAACACCCATCTTTGCAATAAATTTCCAATACCTTGAAATAACTTGCATTAATCTTTGCTCCTTGCAAATCAAAGAACTTAACTGAATTAGCCAATGGCTAATTAGGCAACCTCCAAAGTCATATGCCCCATTTCCTCATCTGCTAAATGGAAATGAACAACTGCACAGGACTGGTGGAGGCTGGGCAGAGAGCATGCATGTTAACTCTTTGGACACCATGAAATTCAGTGCATGTTAGTGACCACAACTTCCAACCGGGAAACTGTGTCTGGGCCTTGAATAACTGACCCAGTGTCCAGGGTCCACTCACCGGATGTTGCTGTGATTGGCCTTGGGCAATTTTTCACAAGCATTCCACAGAGCCTGAAGCCTCTTTTCTTGCTCCTGGATGCTGGGGAATTAATAGGAAAAGCCACTGGTTGAGCATGACTTACCGCAGTCTCCCTGGCAGCCACATCAACCGGTCACTGTAATATTTGAGAATAAGGAGCCACCCACGTGCCTGACAGTGTCAGCAAGCTATGACTACTCCAATGTTTGGTTACTATTACCTCCCCTCTATGTTCTTTTTCTGTCTTGTCCTATGCTCTTAACAAAACTCCCTCTCCCCACGTCCCATGTCCAGGTGAATGAGTGCCCGGCAGCAGTGGGGGCAGGAGGGCAGAGGCCGGACACCTGAGCTCTGCAGTAGGCAGGGCCTGGTGTTGTCAGGAGGGCGATTCTGGCCCAGAAACCAGGCACCAAACAGGACCCACACACCCTCCCGGGGCAGGAAGAAGTCCTTACTTTTCCTGGTTCTGAGACACTGAGCTCTGAGGCCTCAGGATCCTTCCTAGTTCCTGTTTCCTGTGAGACCCACCTCTACAAGTGAGGGGGGAGGGCTGTCTCTCAGATCCTGAAGCAAAGGCGTCCTCCCCTTCTCCAGCTTCGTATCACCAAGGTGGCATAGGCATACAGTGAGCAACAAGGACATGTTCTCCCTCTCCTTCACCCCAGGACCACGGTGGAAGTTCAACCACGTCCACACCATGGTGGCAGCTTACTGTTCAGTTCAGCGAATATTATTTAATGACATTCGGTGAGTCCCTTCTGAATAAGTGAATTTAATGACTCATGGAAATAAGGAATCTGATCTATCCAGATGTAACTCAGAGGTGGGTAATTCGCATGAACAAGGGTTTCTCCACTAGACAGGAAGATTTGCTCGAAGGGTTTCTTTATTCATAAGCCCTCTGAGAATGAAGAGAATTGCTCATAGGATTACACTTTTTAAGTACTTTTCATGAAAATCTACATCAAGGCCTACATGGTTCGGAAGGCCTTATGATCAGAAAAACAGAAAGGAAACACCAGCTGGCGAGGCCCCGGCTCTGAGCCCTTGACTAGGGCCTGGGTGGGTTGGGGGGGGGGGGGCGGGGCTCTGAGCCCCTTGGCTAAGGGCCTGGGGGGGAGCGCGGGGGGACGGGGAGGGTGGCGGTCACTCACATGCGGAGTTCCCAGAGGCCTCCCATGGATCCCGACCAGTTAGCCAGAGGGAGAGGGAAACACTCTCCGAGTGGAACCTCTGCTGGGAACCTGGCATGAAAGCCCCGCCTCCCAGGAAGAAATGGAAAGGTAACAGCTCATGTCCCTTTGACCAAAGGCTGGCCAGAGAGGGTCTGCTGTTGGGCAGCCTAGTTCCACCCTCCTGCGACCATGTGCCAAGGATTTCCTCTGTGAACCTCACGCCCCCATTGGAAATGGGATTAGTAAGAGAACTTTCTAGTCTCTTATTTACGTGGCTGCAAAGTCGTGTCCTTTGAGTTACAGGCCACCCTGCATGGTCCTGACAATCCCTAAGTGTGAGTGGTTTAAAGAAGAATCGTACAAAGTGCTCATCTCTCGGTCAATGTCAGGCTCTGCAGCCACCGTGGCTGCTGCCTCCGCTCTCGCCTCCAGCAGCTGAGCGCCTCCTGGGGCACCAAACCCCATTCTCGGTCCTGCTCCTTAGTCCTTTCTAAGGTGAAAGGGCAGATGCTGTGAAGACCTTTCATTCAGTAAAAATCAGCAAACACACACTGAGCACTTCCTGCAAGTCAGGCTCTGTCCTGAGGGCGGGAGGCAGTGGTCAGCCAGGAGGTCCTTGTTCGCAAAGCTTACAAGGTAACCGGCTACTCACACACAGCCTGAGCCAGGCGGTCAGTTCCCGGGACAACGAACACAGATGGGACTTATGGCGACTGCTGGCTGCTTTATCTTGGGGTTGTCAGACAGGTTACATTTAAGGCGGGGCCCTGGGGCAAAGGTTTCAGGACACCTGCATCAGAGAGAGCAGCCAGTGAAGGTGAGGCATGTCCGTCCTGTGGAAGGAGCCCTGTGACTGCAGCCTCAGTCCTTGCTTCCTAGACTCCAGCGTGGAAACACTTCACTTACGTGGCTTGCAAAGTTGTGTCCTCTGAGGTACAGGCCATCCTGCACTGTCCTGCGATCCCTAACTGCTGTCCCCGCAGCTTCCCTGACTCCACCTCCAACTCCTGGCTGCCCCATCCCCACAGAGCAGGCAGCGTTGCTGTTAGTTAGGGTTAGTGTGGCTCGTTCGTGAGACTCAGCTTCATCAGAGGTCAATGGTTATCAACCCAACAGCCCTGGGAGTTTTTAAACAAGGAGCCCAACTATTAAATCAGAATCTGGGAAAAAAAGGTCCAGGCATTGGTATCTTTTAAAAGCTTCCCAGGAGCCCTGACCGGTTTGGCTCAGTGGATAGAGCGTTGGCCTTCGGACTAAAGGGTCCCACGTTCGATTCCAGTCAAGGGCATGTACCTTGGTTGCGGGCACATCCCCAGTAGGGGGTGTGCAGGAGGCAGCTGATCGGTGTTTCTCTCTCATTGATGATTCTAACTCTCTATCCCTCTCCCTTCCTCTCTGTAAAAAATCAATAAAATATATTAAAAAATATATAAAAGCTTCCCAGGAAACTAATGTACACAGAGGGTTGGAAATGGCTGTTCCAGACAAATTACTTTCTTTGGAGAGTGTGAGCATGTCACAATCTTTAAGGCAGGACACACAGTCCTTGCTTTTCCTTGGTTCCCAGACACTGAGCTCTGAGGCTTCAGGATCCTTCCTATTTCCTATGAGACCCACCTTCACAAATGAGGAGGGAGGAGTGTCTCTCTGACCTTGAAGCACAGGCATCCTCCCCTTCTCTAGCTTTGCATCACCAAGACCCTCAGACATCAAATAAAAGGGAGTTTCCATCAGAGGGTGTGTTCTTACTCTCCTTCACCCCAGGACCACAGTGCTGTTCTAGATCTTCACCCCAGGACCACAGTGCTGCTCTAGATCCTCACCCCAGGACCACAGTGCTGCTCTAGATCCTCACCCCAGGACCACAGTGCTGCTTTAGATCCTCACCCCAGGACCACAGTGCTGCTCTAGATCCTCACCCCAGGACCACAGTGCTGCTCTAGATCCTCACCCCAGGACCACAGTGCTGCTCTAGATCCTCACCCCAGGACCACAGTGCTGCTCTAGATCCTCACCCCAGGACCACAGTGCTGTTCTAGAGAGGCCTCAGGGGCCATGGCTAACCACCTGGGTTCTGGAACCAGATCCTCATTTTGCCATTTATTAGACAGCAAGTAACCTGCCATTACATACCTGCTCCGTGACTCAACTTCCTCATCTGGAAAATGGGAGAAACAGTACAACCCACTTCATAATGTGGAATTAGATGAATTAAAAACATATAATGAGCTTAGAACAAGGCCAAGTCTCTAAAAATCACTCAACAAATACTGTCCCCTATGATCATTACTACCCTCACGGAATCCCACAATTCTCCACAATGAGATACAAGAACACCGTACGTTCAGACAGCCCTGTACAGTGCTTGACCTCCATGACGTCATGGAAACAAACAGTGACACACCAGGACTGGAGCACCTTTCTCTACCTCGACACACACCAGCCAGGCTTCGCTCCAGGTCCACGGGCTTCTCCTCCAGCCCAGGTCTTACAGAGCAGGTGCACACTCGTGTTCTTTCTGGCACGATGCTGGCTGCTCCTTACGACTAACTCCCATGCTAGAGACCTCCAGAAATCACGTCCTTTCCCAGGCACCGGGCTGAGTCCTGCTCTCATAAAACGTTCTCCCCTATCTCTTCTTCCTGCACGTCTCTACCTCCTGCTCTCTGCTGGCAGTCCTCCTGGTTCCTCACCAGCCATGCCATTGACTCACTAAAACCCAGTCCTCCAAATAACAGCATTTATTGAGGTAGCTCTTCCCATGGCCGATACTAACGCATGCGCCACGTGAGGAAGGCAGCTGGCTGTGGCTTCGCCTGCTCTTTGCATTTTCTCTCTTCCCAACAGGACTGGAACCTTAGGTGCTGTTCTGTCACCTCCAGCTGGGCCCTCCCTCGGGCTCATCTTCCAGAGGGTAGAATGTGTCCTCGCCCAGATGTTATGTGTTTATAGTGTTTATTGTTATTAAAATATTTTTATCTATTAGAGACAGCTTAAGGACCCCTGTGACCACTCTCTTGTCTTCCACTCCAGAGGGAATCACTACCTCTGACTGTGTGAGCCCTTCCAGAACCTTCTTTCATGCATTTACACATACAAAGAGCCACTCTGATAAACTGTGCTGTTTTCAGTGCTTTTCTTCTTTTTACAACAACGGAATATCATAGGTAACTTGTTAACTTGCTTTATTTCACTCAATAACAAATCTTCGTGCCTTTTCATGATAGCGTGAATAGCTCTACCTATGTTTTGACTGCTGCAGTGTATGTCACCGTGTAGACATACCACAGTTTATTCAACCACTCCCCACCCCCACCAATGAACATTTAGTAACTTTTAGGCTTTTGCTATTTCAGCAATTGCTGCAATCCATGTTCCTGCATATGCCTCTAAGGGCACCTGTACAAGCATGGCAGGTGTTTCTGCATGACAGATACTGAGAAAGGAGCTGCTGGACCATAGGTGACATGCTTTCATAATTTCAACAAATACTTCCAGAGAGACTCCAACCCACAAGCCACTCCAAAATGTGGTGTACTCACTTGGAAGCCTGAATCCACTCGTCATAGAGTTCAAAGGTCATAAGAGGTTCTGGCAACTCTCGGAGGTAAGATTTCAAAGCTCCTGGGCATGAATACAATATTGGCCATGAGCCACTTGGAATGGCAGAGACAAGCACCTTCAGCCAGCATTACCCAAGGGGGTTACATCTAGGACGGGCTCCCTGACCCAGATAGCATCCAACGGTGACTTCCCGTGGGAGTGGACCCAAGGCCCTGGCAAGGCAACGGGGCCTGGGCTGGCGATGGCATTGGCCTCCTGGCCACTAATTCCCACCACTCTCTCATCGTCTGCTGGCACACAGGGGAGACCTTCCCTCCAGGGGCATAGCAACCAGGCTTAACACTGGCCCTCATGGACACACCTAAAGCTTGTCAGGAAGCCACGGGCTCCAGTGTCTGTGACACGTGGTCACACACCCTCCATGTTCTCCCTTCCCTGTGAGCATCTACAGCAAGAGGGAGCACCGTGCCCAGGGGCTGTGAGCACCCACCTGCGATCGCGTGTGGGTCTGCTGAGTACTCCTGCACGTCCACCACACAGCAGTCCAGGGCAGCTTTCAGCTTCTTCAATTTGGAGGCGGATGGAGCCACTCGGAAGAGTCCCTACCAAGAGGCCAGAGGTCAGTGCGCAGCCCTGAAACTCGGGCACAGAAGCAAAACCAACAGACAGCAAGTCTGCCCACTCCTTTGCTCCACACTCTCCTGGGTACATTTCCCAGCACCACTGTCAACACTGCAGCTGCTGCTTCCTAAATGCTCCTGCCGAGCTGGGACTGGGCCTGGCCCACTGTCCTGTCCCCGGGGCCTACTATGGGTGACTCACCGCTCTGTCTCAGTATTTGTTGAAAAAAAGAAACTTGGGCACTCAGTTTTCTTGTCCTTGTGTTTTGAAGATACATTTTGGAGAAGAATTTGACTGAGACCTGGTTAGATTAGGGGAGGTGTGGGAATTCAGATGTGAAAGAGCTACAGGTGCGTGTGTGTGGGAGGCACAGGACTATACTTTTATTTTATTTTTTAAATCTTTATTGTTGAAAGTATTACATATGTCCCTCTTCCCCCCGCATTAACTCCTTCCAGCCCACCCTCGCCCCCTACCCCAGGCTTTCACCACCTAATTGTCCATGTCCAAGGGTTATGCATATACACATACAAGGTCTTTGGTTGATCACCTCCCACCCACCCTCCCCCACCTTCCCTCCGAGATTCCGCACTCTATTCCATGCTTCCATGTCTCTGGATCCACTCTGTTCATCAGTTTACTTTGTTACTTAGATTCCACATATGAGTGAGATCATGTGATACTTGTCTTTCTCTGACTGATTTATTTCACTTAGCATGATACTCTCCAGGTCCCTCCATGCTGTCACAAAGGGTAAAGGGATTATTCTTTTATAGTGCTGCATAGTATTCCATGGTGTAAATGTATCACAGCTTTTTTATCCACTCATCTACTGATGGGCACTTAGGCAGTTTCCAGATCTTAGCTATTATGATTTGTGCTGCTATTAACATAGGGGTGCATACATTCTTTCTGATTGGTGTTTTGGGCTTCTTACGATATATTCCTAGAAGTGGGGTCACTGGGTCAAATGGAAGTTCCATTTTTAATATTTTGAGGAAACTTCATACTGTTTTCCATAATGGCTATACCAGCCTGCATTCCCACCAGCAGTGTACTAGGGTTTCCTTAGCTCCACATCCTTGCTAGCACTTGTCATTTGTTAATTTGTTGATAGTAGCCATTCTGACAGGTGTGAGATGGTACCTCATGGTCGTTTTGATTTGCATCTCTCTGATGATCAGTGACTTTGAGCATTTTTTCATATGTGTCTTGGCATTCTGTATGTCCACTTTGGAGAAGTATCTATTTAGGTCCTTTGCCTATTTTTTAATTGGACTATCTTCTTTCTGTTAAGTTGTATGAGTTCCTTATGTATTTTGAATATTAACCCTTTACCAGATGTATCATTGCCAAATATGTTCTTCCATACAGTGGGCACCCTTTTCATTTTGTTGATGGTTTCTTTTTCTATTCAGAAGCTTTTTATTGTGAAGTAGTCCCAATTGTGTACTTTCTCCTTAGTTTCTTTTGCCCTAGGAGATGTATCCGTAAGCATATTGCTACAAGAGATGTCTGAGATTTGCTGCCTATGGTTTGTTCTTGGACTTCTATGGTTTCATGACTTACTTTAAGTCTTTTTATCCATTTTGAGTTTATTCTTGTGTTTGGTGTAAGTTGGTGGTCTAATTTCTTTCTTTTTTTTTCATATATCTGTCCAATTTCCCAACA